AATTTGCGAAGAAAAAGACACCCTTATTTCTTGAACACTATTTGGATCCTAGAATTGAAAACKAATACTAAAACTTCAAACATTAACTGTACGTGATCTTAAAACGTCTTTTTTATATACTATTGTTTCAAAATGTTAAGAGATGGATCAAAGTATAGATATGCCTTAAGTCGTACAAGCCCTAAACCAACMAAGAAAGTTATTTTTTATGATGTTTGTTATTGATATCTTTAGAGTAACGATCCATTCATTGTGCAAATATGTTTTTGAATCGCATACCGACTATTTTGATACTGCTATTGGTAATTACACATCTCCTGGACAACCGAGCACAGTTTGAAGCGGTTTAGAAGAAAATACAAAACAATTTACTATAAGTACGATATTTCTTTAATATGAATCGCATATAACTCGGTAAAAAAAATTTTTCCAACTCCCCGACCGACACTAATGCACCTTTTTGCTTTTTAGTTGGGTTTGGTATTGTTTTCACAGAGAGTACCACAAAAACCCGCGAACGTGCAAAAGTAAACGTTTCTAGATTTGATAAGACTTTTGGACGAACAACCGCCAAAACTCAAGCTTTCCATAGTTTGATTGTACGCTATAAAACCATTAAATCGATTTACGTGAGTGTCTATGATGTTGAAGAAGCGTGTTTATTTGTTATGGGCTTATAATATGTCAACAAGTCGATATCTTATCGTACAGCTAACATCCAACCGCAAGCCAGTTTGCACAAACGCCCAACACGTGTAGTATCAGAAGTCTCAGGTGTTACACGGCATCTAATCATACCCTCAGTGATAGTACAATATTACTGTTTATGGAAAGACAACAAAATCCTATTTCTAAAATGCTGTAAAACTAAAGTGCTTCTCACTAGAAGTGATTTCTAACGATTTAGTTTGAAGGGCCAATATTGTATGCTTTAAACCCTACCGCTATCGAGTTTTTATGAGGTTTACGTAATCTACTTTTGCTGTATTTATGCAATAGTATAACTGAGTATTTGTATAACAATTATTGGACTTTGTTTAGCTTGGATCCAAAGCATCTTTTCTTTTCATTGACACCTTTTTTCAAAGGAGCCGTCTTAAGATTAACGCTTTTAAGATTTCATTGAAGTCAAGCTGATCAAGTCTTCTAGAATGTTTTCCCAGGAGTATAAGATTCCTTAGTCTTTCACGTTGATTGTAGTTGTTTAGATGAGCACACATCTCATATCAGTTCTTTGTTGTTGAGATTAGGGCTTGGAATAATGAGGTCTTAGCAGCGTTAGATACTGAGGCTTAAAAGCAAGTGCCCAACAAAAGACAACTTAAGGCTTTTCTTTCCTGTGTAGGTAAAGGTTGGGTGATTAGGAACCAACAAATAAGCCATTAATCACATATATATCAGCTCTCTTAGCTACAAAAGAGTGAACTTGGACATTGTGGTCTTAAGGCGCTAAATACTAAAGAATAGCTTGCCGCAATGCTACCTCAGTATATTGATCTTCTAAGGTGTTTTTAGGTAGAGTCTGAAAATAATCTCTCCACAATTAACTAATTCTTCCTCATCTTAGAACAACTTTATTATGGTTACTAGCAGTTACTAGCTATTGAAATTGCTTAAGCTTAAATTGCATCAGGGGGATCAGGGGATCTGTTTTTTCGATTTCGTGAGAGAACATCTTAAAAGGTTAGGATTGTAGTTATTGAATTCACTTAATCCCTGAGTGCTTTGTTTACAGACTCTAAGAAATAGATCCTTTGTGGACAAGCTTTTAGTTTTGTGAATAGGTCTTTAGTATCGGCCATTTATCTCTGGTAGACCATGGTTTAAGATGAATATGACATATACCAACAAAACTTCATATAATGTCTAACAGCATGACACTTTTGTGCCAGGCTTCTATGGTCGAATTTACAGGTACAAGCTATGGTGCAAATACTTCACACGATTTAAATTGTTTTAACACCTTTATAGATAGATAGAAGTACAGAASCACGTGAGTCGAACATCCATTTATTCGCACGTGGAATTAGTCTTTCTCAACCATATAAAAACCTGATGAATAACGCATTTCACAATGAAACTTATATTTGTCCATTTGAACATAAATATTAATTGACCTATGTTAAGTGCGCTTCGGGCAAAAAAAAAATCGGTTATTAGCGACCACTGGTACGCACTTTGATCAGTTGTTCGATTTGATCAGTTGTTCGATTTGTTATTTCTTGATCTTAAAAAATGAGACTCTATTTACATGTATTTGCCTAAAGTAAATAAATGGAACAATTAGATTTGAATTGTTGACTTAACAGTTCTCTTTAGACTCTAATCACATACCGAAAGGGGTGGTTCCAAGACAATGGAAAATAAACACTGGAGCTCTTTCAAATAGCAAAGCTTCAATATATTGCTAAGCATCTTTCGTATTGTTCTCGAAAATACAACAATTGCTCCCTAATGTACCGACTTATAAAGCGACCTAGCGAGGTCATATGCTTTTTTTGTTGTTGTTTTTGGAGTATGGCAAAAGTAAAGTTCTGTGGTGAATTGTATTATGAATAATGGTACGCACAATGTAATCTTGAGTTTCCTATAGGGGATTAATTGCCCATATATCCTTCCTCTCAGAGACTTGGCTTTCAGCTTAACCATCCATTAATCCGTGTTTATTATCGTTAGGCAATTCTAGAYTTATGTACATTTGAGTTGGTTTTTATGTGACTCTACAATGTAGGCTTTATTATTCGAGAAGCTGTCATCTTTTTTGATCCAAATCAATTCTAAAATATTCATGCATGCTTGTAGATTTTATTCTATATCACAACAAGCCTCAGGCGATAATTTGAACTGACTCAAAGTAGTTATCTCCGCTTTTCTTGGTCACGAAGATTAACAGAACCATTTTGCGAGTATTTATATTCACACGTAGATCGCTTTAAGACCTTGAAGTAAGCTCTTAAAAGAGTAAAAATTGAAGAACCTCTCAAGACTAAACGTCAAACGTTTGAAATCAAAGAGACGAGGAGAGAAAACAAGAAAGCACGCCAATATACTAATTGATAGCTTTRCACAATTGATCGTCACTGTAGAATAGTAATTGTTCATGGTAACCAAGGAGTGAGCCATTTCCTAATAAGAACGCTTTTTTGTACAAAAACCGAACACTCAACGCACTCATATCGAGCGAGCAATTTAGAAAAGAGTTTTTATTTCTAGGTTGTTTAGAAAGTCAATTTTTTTCACCCTTGATGGGGTTCTTTTTTTAAATTTTAACTGTGATATTATTTATTGAAAAAACGCTTCGTCAAATTGCATTGCTCTTGATACAAAATAAAGATATCTCTTTCTTTGATTAAAGGTGGTAGTTTTTCAAGGTACTTTCTTTATGACAAGAGAAGAGTGTTTTTATTAAAAGGATGTCCATTTATGAGCTTTTATGTAAAAGCTATTTGTACTTGTCGAATTATCGTTGCGGGAAAGTAGTGTTGCGTAGTGTCTACAAACACCATCAATGATGTTATTTTCACGAGTAAATTGCATGGGAGGAGCTCCTAGCCACACTTCTCCGTTTTATCGTAGTGTTGAATTTGAAGTGTAAAGCGATAAGTACTAGATGTCGTCATTAGAGCTTTGTGGTAAGGAGAAAGTTTGGCGCCAAAAGTTCTTTTCTAATGATAGCTATTGGTAATCAAAATCAGTCTCCCTGATAAGGAACTTACACCAGCCATTAGCGTTATATACAAACTAATCAGGTCAAAAGCAGGCAAAGACTAAAACGCTATTGATTTGTCAAAAGTAACAACATAAAACTCGAGGCACTATTTCTTAATAAAATTAAAACTTCCATGAAATGGAATTCATAAACATTGGGCCTCTTTCAAGTGATGTGGGTGGGATTTCCTTTGATTGGGAATCTATACTCGTGAGGCAGACCTTAGCGTTCAAAAGTAAATACTTCGATGATCATGATAAATGTTGTACTCAAACTTGGCCTTCTATAACGATCGTCGGCACTGGCAAAGCCTTGTCAGTTCAACTAGAATTGATGGCCAATACTGTCGAAATAAAAAAGGCCTTAAAACCTGTTTATTACTTTAGGTCTTAATTGGTTTAAAAGCGGATCGAAAACGAATGGTTGGAACTAATAACCGMTATTTTACATCATATCCCTCTGTGCTACTTAGAGCTTTACAGGCCGATAGTACAACTCGTATCGTCTGTGTATAGAAGTCATRTTATTATGTTTTCGTCTCATCTTTCAGAATAGGTTTACTGATATTAAMGCTGATCGTGTGTATCGGCACTGATCGCTACGAGTATTAAAAGCTTGAAGTTATCTATATCATGATTTCAGAAATAAAATAACCCAAGCGGTGTTCAATGAGAGTTACAAACAATATAACACATCAGGGATTGATTGATTTTCACAGTTATCTTGCGACACTGTAGTGTAAGAAATGGGCAAGTGCTAGTAAAGATTGTTATACGGTTTGATGTACGAGGTACTTGTACGATATATTCCAACTATCAAAAGAATATGAACCTWAAGTGATTTTCAAAAGTGGTTATCGGATCGTTGAACGCTACATCGATGCACTGGTCTGCTCAATCAAGTTTATATTATAAATAATAAAAGAGAGATTGATTGTAAAAGCTTTTTGTACTCTTCGAAGCCACTCAAACTTTGATTGTGAAATCAATAAACAAACAAAAAAAACAAAGAGCGAACAGATCTGTTTACATCGCAGAAAAGACTCAATAAAGTCATCGACACGTTTCTAAATCTTCGAACAAAACCATCGTATTGATTTTTCAATTGATCATAACTACATGTGACATAATCGACAACAAAAGCTTTACCACAGAACACAGCAGTGTCAAAGACTAAAGCAATCATTAGAAGCTGCGACGCTTTTTAAGCGGATGCTTTAAATAGATATGTGAGTGGTAATTCACGAAATAAAAGGTTTGCATGATGGGTGATATGTTCTTGTTCTATTGACTGGTTGGTTGGGCCAATTGTCTTCTAAAACCACTTGAATYGGTCGTTCATCAATCAGCTAGGCTCTTGACTGTCACTGTTAATGACTCGAGACCTCTTAAGCCAAACTGCTCGTCAAGAAATGAATTCACCAATGGCTTTTCGCCGCATTAGCATGTCATTAGCGAGACATCTGTAGTCACTTAAGCCAATCAACTTGTCATCATCCCGAGTTTGATTGAGGAAAACCTCAAGAATGATTAGCAATAGGAAAGAACAGCACACGATGGTATAACACTTCCTTGCAGCGCGATTCTCTCAGCGTCGTGTTTTCGTGTTTGCGTCGTTCTACAGCGGTATCGATTTCTTTATGTTTGTCAAACTTGTGGTGTATTTCACTCACTTATCTGAATCCCAACATGTCAATCAATTACTTGTTATGGAAATCTGTCGCATGGGTATACCATTCCAAGTTTGCCACAAACTCAACACGCCGTCATTAGAGTATGTCCCAGTCAGTAAAAGCCGTTTTACTCTGGAAACAAGATCCGGACGAAATCGATAAGCTCTAGATAAATTCGCTTAGCATTTTCACGTTGTCTTATCGAGTCCTGCTAAAAGGGGCGTGTTGTGAACCAGCCAAAGGCGTTCAAAGCATTCTATCGATCATTAAGAGATAACTGAGCAAGTCGGAGATTCGACAACATTTTCAAAAGCTCGGCTTCGCTCCAGAGCCTGAACGACAAGGACGATTGTAGCTCAACATTAAGGCGAGTAATTGCTGAATTGTATACCGTTTGGCCAATTGAAAAAGGCTAAACATGAACACATTAAGGTTGACAACGTGTCTCGGGCTAATTGATAGGGTCGGTTAGCCAATCACGAGAGGGTTTTATCGTTTTTTCCCGGTTGTTTGTAAAGATGTAGGCGGGGAAGTGCATTTTCTCTTTCTCACGGTTCCATTAGACACAAAGGTCGACCAATCATAGTACAGTTCTTCCTTGTCAAACGCTTAACAAGTTTGACATTTTTATTCGCGATCATTATCATCGACTTAAAACGTCGCCACTTATGCCGTGAGCACAGTGAGACTTACACAAGCGGCTTTGTTTGCCTTTCTTAGACTCCTGAAATTGCTCCATCATTGGAATATTGGAAAACGTTCGGCACTTATTAAATCAAGACGAAATCTGCCAACCATGGATGATAAACCTCGATTGAATCCGTTTTCGATCTCAAATATTTTGGGCTCCAAAAGCTCGCGAGATAGCGAGAACAGGGAAGTTACAACTACGAGTGAAAATGAGCGCGGAGATAAGAGCMTTATTGAGGTAGACGACAAGGGTTCAGTAGGGGGGAAGCAAACGTCTTATGGAGCTTTACAACACGATGGAAAGACTCCTGGGGATATATATGAYTGGGAAGATGAATCCACGGTACACAGTCCAGAAAAAAACGACTTTGACAGTAAGTAAAAGTATTTTCTAGTTTAAWATAGGTTTATAACGTACTTGTACAYGTTCCACCTACCACTAAAGTTAGCGGCTAGCGGCAAAACTTTTCAAAACAAGGTCTYGTTACGATAATTCCAGGGACAATGGAGTGTAAACACCTAGTGATTTCTACTTTTATGTATTACAGGACACTCAGACAAAGATATCCAGCTCTCTGATGATAAAAAAGACGACAGCAAAAAACGAAGGAAAAAGAAGACCAGAACAGTTTTTTCTCGAAGCCAAGTCTACCAACTCGAATCGACCTTCGACATGAAAAGATATCTGTCTTCATCGGAGCGAGCTGGCCTAGCAGCGCAGTTACATCTCACAGAAACACAAGTCAAGATCTGGTTTCAAAACAGACGAAACAAATGGAAACGTCAAATTGCTGCAGAGATGGAAGCTGCAACTCTAGCGCAGGCAAATCAACATCGTATGGTTAGAGTTCCAATATTGTATCACGAACAGGGTCGATCAGACCATCCTCATACACCTTACCCGTTTTACCAACATCCATACGTTAGTCTACAGTATGCTCCAAGCTTCCCTCATCTCTTTGCACATCCTTTAAGACCTTCTATGAGTTCTTTGGTATAGGAAATTGCTATGCAAAGTACAATGAATTTCGCGCCGGCCAGGTGGCAAATGGCAGCAAGCAAACAGTCTATACCTCCAAGAGTGTAGAGTTTGTCAGATCTGGTGGTACTAAAGTGTTCTTTTGAACCTTAACTGCACTCTGGAACAGTTTGTCAGCTGTGCTGTGGTCCAATGAAACATTGAAGTATAAGGTTTATTCATCTGGACTGCATCCCTTCTAAGGTGACATTCAACTTGCAAAAAAAGTACATTTAATGTTGTATATAGAARGAACTGAATTTTATGTCTTCAAGTCGTTGATTTTATTCTGAGGACAAAAGACAAAGTCAAAAATGTATATAGGTTAATCTCTAAACGATGTGATAGTCTTTGCCTGGTTTACAGTATGTTTACTGTTGATATTAACACCTATTTATTCAATCCRAAAATTGATTAAGTTTTTACTCTGTTATATACCATGTACTATGCTGTTATACCTACTTCATACGACTCATGTGAATCGGGTTGCAAGGACAAATATGACCTGCTATTATAAATAGCAATTCATCATGAAATGCTAGAAATTATTAGTAACTTTAGCTGGGGAATTCATTGGGGGAGAAAAATTGTGAAAAATTACACATTGATATAGATTTTTTAATAAATAATTTCAACTATATATCTGTTTATTCTTTGCGGTAAATACTTATGCTTGCTTTTAAGTACATTTTCCTACTGCTGTACAAAACGAGGTTTTTATTTCTTTCAAAGCGAGTGTTTAGTACGTTGTGCCTCATTAGATAAAGCTTTAAATCGCCTTTTCATCACTTTGAAGAATCAGTAAGGTGTTAATACAATAGCTTCAACAAATAAAATTCAATTAGGGCTTGAAAAGCTTACGAATACTATCGCAAAGTCGCGGCAAGTGCGAGAATTGCTTTTGGTCTCTCATTTCAAGTGGAATCTACAAACTCTTGATCTTTTAGTAAGAGTTTATACAACAATAGTTGGTTAGCGTTTACTTGGGAAGGTATTTTACTCAAACCGATGACCAAATAGCTAGTTTTAATACTGTACGTGTATATCCTCAAAAAAACCTCAAATGTTTCTTTTGATAATTGTTTTTAAATATCATTACCGTTSAATGCATGGATGGCTAAGGACTTGTGAATTGACCGACTACCGTCATATATGCTTCAACGTTCTTAGTGTATTGCATGTGTGCGTCAAAACTAGCGTTTTATTTCAAGGTGTAAACGATTATCAAAGTCCCTCCCATGAAATAAACTGCTTAACACTACGTTCAGTCGAGACTATAAGCTTAATGGAAGGTCGATTAATTGTTCGTTAGTACACGTGAAACAGGAATGTGGTTCSTATTAATTTCTGCGTCTAAACGAGCTAGGGGACTGATAACAARACTATTATCACATTTGGCCATTAGTGAGACGCCACCTGCATCATCGAAAAGCTATCAAAACTACCCATTTTACCCGTGGAAAGGTKAGAGAAATCAAAAAACCTGCACCTTGAACCCGCAAAGATTCGCTGAACTTACGAAGCGATAATGTACAACAACAKRGTTTTACTTGTTCACTTGAACAGCTTGTGAGTTGTAGCCGTTTGCTGCCGTCACGGTGTTCTTCGTTAGCACGCTCGATACTTTTTCTAACCGCAAAATATAATATTCCCATCAACATGACTACGTCCACGAACAGTTTCTGAGCCAGACCTGGAGCTAATKTTTTTTTWRGRAA